GACCTGGGTGAACTGCGCAGCTACCTTGGCTTGCAGATCACCCGAGACAGAGCACGCCGCACCATTACCCTGACCCAGTCACTCATGGTGCAGCAGGTCCTTCAGCGGTTCGGCTTAAGGTACTCCTCACCTCAGGCCACTCCTCTGCCTACTCACCACTCGCTCTCAGCTCTGCCTTCGGATGAGTCCGTAGAGTCGAGTGGCCCGTACCCAGAGCTTGTTGGCTACCTCATGTACCTAATGACCTGCACACGACCTGACCTTGCATACCCTCTTAGCATTCTCGCACGCTATGTTGCTCCTGGGAGACACAGACCAGAGCACATGGCTGCAGCGAAGAGGGTGTTGCGCTACTTGTGTAGTACGTCGGGCATGGGGCTTGTGCTTGGAGGGCAGAGTCCAATGGTCCTCACTGGGCACGCAGACGCTTCTTGGGCTGACGACCAGGCTACGCAGTGGTCGTCACAGGGTTACACCTTCAGCTTTGGTTCCGGCTCTGTTTTGTGGCAGTCTGCCCCCTCGTCTTCTGTTCTCGGCTCCAGTTGTGAGGCTGAGATCTACGCAGGAGCCATGGCTGCTCAGGAGCTTCGCTGGCTCACCTACCTGCTGACCGACCTTGGAGAGCCGCCTCGTTCTCCTCCAGTGCTGTATGTAGACAACAAGCCCACAAGGCCTTGTGTCGAGAGCAGAGACTGGAGCACAGAACGAAGCACATTGCTCTCCGATACTTTCTTGCTCGTGAGCTGCAGCAGCGTGGTCAGCTGCGTCTTGCGTACGTGGCCTCTGAGGCCAACACTACTGATATCTTCACCAAGGCGCTTGCGCCTTGTGATCATCAGCGCTTCTGTACTCAGCTGGGTCTTGTGCCTGCCTTTCCTCACTTGCTCACCTCTTGACCTTGTTTGTACTGTTACATATATATATACATGCTCTTGCTTGTCTAGCCTTTTATATATATATGTACTCCTGCATGTGAACTGGCCTTGTGGCCTTGAACTTGTGCTCGGAATGTGTGGTGACTTTGTGATCCACCCTGAGCTTGCTTTGCTTTGCTTGACTGGTCTTGTGACCCCTTGTTCTCCCCCACTTTGCCTATGGGGGTGTGTCATAACATATATAGCTTATGCATATTGTGTAGGCTATAGTGGGGTAGCCCATAAGGGGTACAACCCAATTAGGGTGAGTACTTGTACCCAACTCTTTCATAATTCATTCATTCTCGTTCATTATCACACGTTGCGCACCGGTCGAGGAGAAGCAGGACGGGAAGGGTGTTCTGTCGCCCACTGCGACCGGATGCCCAACTCGGCGATCACTAAGGGGATCGTCCCGTACTCGCCATCCGCGTGGCGTCTCCTCGCGTCAGCCAAACGTGCCTTCAAGGTGTCCGCTACACCCGCATCAACTACGGGGTCGACCATGGCGACTATCGCTGCTGCCGGCCTACGAACGACTTAGTAGGTGCAAAAGTCGGCTCCTATCTGAAGGTCGCGTGTTCGATCCATGCTCACCGCACCATGCGGAGATTCACTCTACAACGGTAGTGAGCTAGACTACGGGGGTTGGCACGAACTACTAGAGGTGATCGTAGCTTTGCTTGGTTCTTTAGTGCTTGCACATTCACGGGAGAAATTGGCAAGAGTTTTCACTAGCAAAGTTAGAATTCCATAAAGATACAAGCAAGAAATGACAAGAATGACTACATCAGACGCCTAGCAACCCTGCTGCTAGCTTGGTCAATCGCGAGCACAGCCTAGTCGATCGCCTGCCAGAGTTGCGTAGAGGAGCCGCGCCAGCACTGCAGAAAGGTGACCTGCCAACGGAGCAGGTCGACGGCGTGCCAACGCTGCAGCAGAGCGGCTGTTTAGCGTTGCCCTGTAGAACACAGCAGTGTGCACGCTCGCAGGTGTGCGTAGACGATTGGCCCGACTTGCTTCGTTGGGCATTCGTCGGCTGTTGTCTGTGCCTGACGGGCCACATCGACTCCGGAATACCAGCCCGAAGTCGCCTGTACCATCGCAACCTCGACGACGTTCGCGTGTCTCCGCAGAACTCCTCGAGCAGGTTACCCAGTCGACCCGGCCGACCACCAGGTGCTTCCGGTCGACCACGACTCCTGTCGAGCTACCCCCTGGTCGACGGACCCCTTCCGTCGACCAGAACCATCAGCGGTTGTCGCCGAGCTCCCCTCGTCGACCGCTGCTCACTTGTCAGGTCGACGGACTGCTCCGTCGACCTCCCGGTCGAACTGCAGGTCCTGGTCGACGTCCCACCCATCGCCCAGACCAGTCAGTGGCAGTTGTCGAGCTCCCTGGTCGACAACAACACCACAGCGGTCCCCTGCAGCTCGACGAAGCCTGTCGAGCAGCTCTCCCACTGTGAACGGTCGGTTGGTACTCCCGTGCATCCGACCAAGTCGTCGGCGTTGCCCAAGCGAGGGCGGGGCCAACACTCCATTTCTGTTAACAAGCACCATCACCAGCAGTACGCGCAGCGGGTGTTGCGGCAACAGAGGAAGCAGATGCATCATCAGCAACAACAGTGGCAATAGCAGGAAAAATTACGTCATGCGAACCAGCAAGGATTTCGGTTCCAACGGCAGTAGAAGCATCCGCGATACCAGCAGCAGCAGTCGCACTAGTCTCGCAAAGAAGAGGAAACGGAGAGGCAGAAAGAAGGCGTTTGCAAGGGGAGGAGGGTCAGGAGGATTTGGAAGGTCAGGATAAATTGCAAGAGACGAGAGAATCTTGGACAGAAATTGCGTCTACAAGAGAGACAAACGATACGAAATTGAATGATTTAAAGAGGATAGAGGAGCTGAGGCGGTTTCTAGGTTTGATAGTTGAAGAGGATTCAGGGTTGGAAGATCGAGTTGATCGGGAGTTCGGATTGGGAGGACGGTGGACCAGTGGAGGGGATAGATTGTGTGTCAGAATAGAGTTGTAAGGGGGAACAGTCACAAGCGATTCGTGGAAGCGTGGAATGCTCTCTTGCACAGTTCAGGGTAAGGTATGGTTGGATGAGGTACAACAGGATGATCTTCAAACCACGTGACAATTCAAGTTGATGCCTCACACCTTGCTAGCTTGTGTGGCTAGAATGACACTGTACATATTGAAGCATTGTTGTTGGGAGTCATGCATGCGAAGGTTCTAAGCAGTAGTAAGGTCATGCTAGGATCTGAAACATGTTCGTTGATGCCGTGACACTGCACAGCAGCAGCATGTCTGGCATGTGCATTGAGAATGTTGGTCAAGCTTTCTTTGATTGTGGCGTTTTTGTTCTCAACAATGTCCAAGCCCTCTTGCTGGCAAGTAGGGTTATTTGAATTGGCACTGTGCTCGTGCTCTCCTCTCATCACAAAGAATTATGATTTTGAACCCACCATTCTCTTCGCTAATCCAGAAACTCTTGAACCCCTTACTTAACCCGTGATCACTTCTTGAAGGGCATTTTTTAAGCCTTCAACCCCCAGCCGCGCCAAGGCTGCTTCTTTGCGTGAGCGCCCACCAAACCCCATTTTCTCCTCTCTTGATTCTGCCATGGCCGAAATACTGTTCTTCCCATATCTCACAAGATTCAAAGTGTCACATTTTGAAGTTTGGATAGCTTGACTAACAGACAAGCTAGGATTGTCCTAGTAGGATAATCGTGGTGCAATAATCCTCGATAATAACGCCTCCACGTCTCGCGATCTCATCTCCACACTTCTTGGACGATTTTTGAACTGTACAGCGTACATGGACGGTGGATATCACCAGTTCAGTACTGTACCGGCGGTACGCAGCCTAGCTGTTAAGTACTGTGCACCTTCAACGTCGTTGTACCGTACGCCATTCGTTTCACGAAATCCGCGTACCACCGTATCATCCAATCTGACACGGCAAGCTCCTCCCTTCCTCTTCTTCTCCCCTCCCCCCAGTACGCGCACGGCACTGGCAATATTGCCTAGCCGGAAACAACTCGGTTCTGGTGGTTCTGAGTTTGTTGTGGTCGCTTCAGTTGTCAACTCCTAGGGTAAGCGCGTCCGCTGACCTGGTGCTGGCAACGGTCGCCTTTCAAATGTCATCTCATGGCAAGCGTTTCTTGTGTATCAAGGGATTGAGCGGCGACTGGAGTCTGGACTGGAGTGAATGCCAGACCGCTTTCCTTTCCGCCAACCGAACATCAACTTCCTCCTCATCCTTGCGGAGTGGAGGTGCTGATATTTCAGTTCCTCACCATATTATCCTCAGTTTTGTGAAGCCCTAGCCATGGCGGCGTGCCCCTCGTGATAGGACTTTCGTTGCCCGTGGGAGTCCGTCATTGGTTTAGGTGGCGACTCACATTGGTTTACGGAGGGAGACTGATTTCGCGTCAGCGAAACAGCCCGTTCTTTCGGCGGAGATTCCGATGGTTTTCTGTCCAAAAAAATATTTTTAGAAACCACGAGAGGACTTTTTTCTTTGTGCTTGCTTCCCTGACGAGCAGCCCCGCCTGGCTCATCTGAATGGAGTATCAATAGTTAAATGTGTCCACGCTTGGAGTTTATCGGAGGCGTCGCGACTCGATCCAAAGCACACTGCTTCCTTTTTAACGAGAGATCAGACGCATCTTAGGACTAGGTTGCCAGGTTTTCACCACGTTACTGTTATGGCACCAGTAGGTCGCCATTAGGGCACCGTCAAGGTAACATCAGGTCACCAATATGTTACCATTGAAGTGCCATTAGTTCATTATCAGGGGTGTACACGAGAAACTCCTGTTACATCTTGAAGCTTCTCCCCGGGTTGCAGCTGGAAAGCATGATAATGAAGCATGGAAGCGGCACTTAGGCAGGACGGCTAAAGATTCACCTGAATACCGCGGAAATTTCAGGGATTTTCTCGACGACTTACAGTTAGCCTTAGACATTCCTAAGCGTACGGATACTGACTGACAACTCTTTCGCCGAAACTATTTCACAGCGCTTTACGTCTTTCGCCGACACCGCTCGTGAGCTCGTTGGCGATGGCTCGGCGATGGTCGTCGACGGCTGTGAAGCTGACGCTAATCATCACTGCCATCGCATTGTTACTCTGGCGAAGCCCGTTACAACCCCTCGCCATCCACTCAGAAAGGCTACTAGAGCCCCCTCCCTCTCATTCCTCCGCCCCCTTCTCCCTCTCCGCCTCCTCGTCATCCTCGTTTTCGGCGTCTTCGTTTTCCGGTAGCGAGTTTCCCGCGCTGGCGTCAACGTCTGATGCGACGGTCGTCGGTCCGAACAGACGGCTGCTTTCGTCGTCGCCAGTCGAGATTGAGATCCATGCGACGGAGATTCCACAGGCCGAGCGACAGTCTGAGCGACTGGATGTGCGACAGTTTGAACGGACTCCCGCGTCGAGTCATTCACCCGAAGCCAATCTCGTTATAAGCGCAGCGGCAAGCGTTCCAACGGCTTCCCCTCGCAACATCTCCGCATTTCCCGCCGCTTCCCCTCATCCCAAGCGGAAAATTCCCGCGCTGCTCCCGCACGACCCCGCGCCCGGGAACTGCTCTGCGCCGATCCACGGCTCCCCCGCGGAGCAGTGCGCCGCCGCGCGCGCGGAAGCCGCCTGCCGCAGCGGCGCGCAGCTAGAATACCTCCAATTCTACTACTGCACGTTTGAAGGAAGCCCAGTATTGGGTGTAGCGCTGCTGCTGACGTGGCTGGCGGCGCTAATTTTCCTCCTGGGAAATGTCGCGGCGGATTTTTTCTGCCCCTCGTTAGAAGAACTCGCGGAGCTGCTGCGGCTGCCGCCCGCTGTAGCGGGGGTTACGCTGCTGCCGCTGGGAAATGGTGCTCCTGACGTGTTCGCCAGGTGAGGGAGGGCGGGTGGGGAGGGTTGAAGGGGGAAAGAGGGGGCCGTGGTAGCGGGGGTGAGCCACTAGGGACTGGCGCTCCTGACGTGTTCGCCAGGTGAGGGAGGGCGGGTGGGGAGGGTTGAAGGGGGAAAGAGGGGGCCGTGGTAGCGGGGGTGAGCCACTAGGGACTGGCGCTCCTGACGTGTTCGCCAGGTGAGGGTGGGGAGGGTTGATGGGGAGGGGAGGGTTGATGGGGAGGGGAGGGGGTGTGCGTGAGAGGAAGACGAGTGTTGCGGATGGGTAAGGGGGCCGTTGTGGCAGGGGTAATGCTGCTGCTGTTGAGGAATGGCGCGCCTGACGTGTTCGCCAGGTGAAGCGGGGAAAACTGAACTTGAGAGAGGGAGATAGCGAGACGGAGTGAGGAAAGAGAGTGTGTCAAAATCCTTTTTTTTTCCCTTCTTTTCCCCCTTTCTTCCCTCCTTCCCCCCCCCCTCTTCCCTCCCCCATTTTTCCTTCTTTTCCCCCTTTCTTCCCTCCTTCCCCCCCCTCTTCCCTCCCCCCAAACCGTGCTTCCCCGCCCTGTTCCACACCTTCAACGTTCTCGTTCTCTCGGTCTCTTGCAGCGTGGTGGCCTTTGTGGAAAGAGCCCTTTCAGCTCCCCCTCTCCACTCTCTTCCCTCCTCCCTCTTTTTAATCGTCTCAGAATCCTCCTTCCTCTCCCGCCCCCTGTTCTCTTTTGTCTTTTCCCGTTCCCCTTCTCCATCCCTTGCAGTGTGGTGGCGTTTGTGGGAAAAGGACATCAGAGCCTGGTGGGCTTCAACGGCGTCTTGGGGGCGGCGTGTTTCGTCTCCACCGTCGTGGCTGGCTCCGTTTGTCTCGTAGCGGCCAGCAAGGCTCCGAGGGTCCAGTTGCACAGATCGTCCTTTATACGAGACCTGACCTTCTTCCTCCTTGCTGTCTTGGTGCGTTTTCGTCTGCCTATCACACCCCTCATTATTGTCACAAACTCAGTTGCTCACCTCTCACATGGGCACAGTGGCACCTGTTTTCCTTTGTGACAGACCTGAATCTCTGCCTCCCTGCTCGCCTGGTGTGTGCCTTCTGCTGTTGTCCCGTCCCTCGTTGTTGTCACAATGTGTTTCAACTTGTTACACCACCCTTGGTGTAAGTATTGCCACTTCCCTCCTTCAGTCTTCCCCCGCATCAAAGAACAACCCTAGCTAACCACCCCTGGTTCACATAAGCCGCCCTCCTCCCCCCTCTCGCATTTTCCTCACTCACTCACTCACGTGCTCTCCACACTCACTAATGCACTCTCCTGACTCACGTACGCACACTCCTCACGCACTCGCACACTCCCCTCCCCTTCCCCTACCCTCACTGGCCCTGTGTGTGCCGGTGTGGTGTGGCAGCTCATGGTGCTTCTGCCCTACACACTTCTCGCCTCCTCCATCTAACCGGCCTACTGCCTTCCTGCCTGCTCTCCTCAACCACTCATCAGCCATACGTTGCTCTACCCTCTCCCTCACCCCCACCCCTCACCATCCCACCCCTTCCACTCCCCTCACAGGCCCTGTGTGTGCTGGTGTGGCAGCGCGCGGTGCATCTACCCCACGCACTGCTCTTCTTTGCCATCTACCCCGCCCACTGCCATACTGCCTGCCTGCTCTTGTCAACCGCTCACATGTTGCTCTACTCCCTTCCTCCTCCCCGCAACAGGCCCTGTGTGTGCTGGTGTGGCAGCGCGCGGTGCATCTACCCCACGCACTGCTCTTCTTTGCCATCTACCCCGCCTACTGCGTCGCTGTCGCGCTCTACCACTGCATGCCAGCAGCGGAGCCACGCACCCCCAGATTCCAGATACACCCCTTCATTCGCTCAGGTGAGTGAACTGTCTCAGGCCAAGATTCTGTTCCAGAATTTGTCGGCCTATACCCTACCCTGCCTTGCATCCACTACCCCGCCTACTGCCTCGCTGTTGCACTCCCCCACTGCCTGCCAGCAGCGGAGCCACGCACCCCCAGGTTCCAGATACACCCCTTCATCCTGCCTACACACCCACCACTACCTTGTTTCCCTCCCATTCCCCTCCCTCCCTGCCTTGTTTTGTCTTTTCCCCCTCTCCTTTTCCCCTTGTGCATTTCAGTGTCCCAGGCAACGATACCCCACTGGCTGTGGGCCCACGAATGCTCGCTCTTCCACTCCCGCTTGCACACCCACCACTATCTCCACCCCCACACCTACCCTGACTTGTCTTTCTCCTTTTCCCCTCTTATCATCATCCCAGTGTCCCAGGCTGCGATACCGCATTGGCTCTGGAAGCAAAGAGCGATTGCTCTTCCACTCACTCGCGCCTGCACACACACCACTACCTTTTCTTCTCACCCTTTCTCTCCCTTTTTCCTTGTCCCCTCATTCATTCCCAGTGTCACAGGCAACGATACCCCACTGGCTGTGGACGCACGAGCGCTCGCTCTTCCACTCCCGGCTCCACACCCATCACTACCTCCACCCCAGCACCTACCTCCCCCTCCCTTTTATCTTCTCCCGGGAGAATTCGGCCAATAGCAACGTGCCACCTGGCCACGTGGAGGCCGAGGACGTGACAGCTGGCAGCGGCAGCTGCCCTGTGGTGCTGCCGCCCCGCCTGCTGTTCCCCCCGCTGTCCTCCTCCCCGTCCCGCACTGCTCCTCCTGTGCTTCACTCTGCTGCCTCTGCTGATTTTTCCGGTGCTGATGATGCATTCACTGCTGCTGCTGCTGCTGCTGGTAGTGCTGGTGGTGTGGCTGGTGCTGCTAGTGCTGCTGGTGTGCCTGCGGGTGGTGCCGCTCGTGGTACTGGTAACCGCATGGCGGCGAGTGTAACAGACGAGCTGAGAGAACCACTGTGGGGCTATGACGAGGAAATGGAAGACCCAGAGCTGGTGAGTGGCTGTTTGGGGTGAGGGGTGTTGCGGTTTGATGTGGGCTTTGACCTGTTTTCTCTGGGCCAAAAAATATTATTCTTTGTTCTGTCTTCATGCTTTTTGCGTTCTACTGCTGCCTTCCTTAGCCTCTACTCAGGCTCCAACTCGTACCGTAAAGCACCACTCTCCACCGCTCAGCACAACTTCCGCCTTCCCTCACCACACTAACTCCAACTCACTCTACCCCTCCCCACCCCACTCCACCCATCTCCACCGCACAGCGCCCCTGGACCTTTGCCGGTTTCTGCGAGTACTTCATAAAGTTCCCGCTCACGCTGCCGCTCCTCTGCTCCATCCCCGTCCACCACAAAGACGAGTGGTCCAAACCCTTTGCAGTCGCCTCCTCCCTCCTCTCCCCCCTCCTCTTCACCACCTTCGTCCTCGGTGTTGATTCCGATCGCCTTGAATTCATCCTCGCCGCTTCCCTCGGGGTTTTCCTCGCCTGTCTGACTTACTACACTACGGAAGAAGAATCCCCGCCGCAGTCCTTTTTACCCGCTTTACTCTGGGTAACTGCCAGCTTTGCCATGTCCGTCGTCTGGTTCTACGCCCTCGCGAACGAACTCGTCGCGCTCCTGGTCTCCCTGGGTGTAATCCTCGGAATTTCCCCTCCAATTCTGGCTCTGACCGTCCTCGCCTGGGGTAACTCCGTCGGGGATCTAGTCGCTAATTTGTCCTTTGCTGCCAGCGGCGACCAATCACGGCTGCAGATCGCCTGGTCGGGCTGCTTCGCCGGACCGCTTTTCAACACGCTGGTCGGCCTGGGCTTGTCTTTAGTGCTCGCCTGCTGGTCCAGATACCCTGAACCTTACGTGGTGCCTGTGGATCCAACCCTCCTATTCACCCTCGGGTTCCTATTCCTCGTGTTGCTCTTTGTGCTGATTCGGCTGGGTTGGTTGGGAGAAAGAGGAGGGAATTCGGATGGGATAGGAGGAAGGGGTGGGATAGGGGGAGGGGATGGGGCTGGAAGCAGGGTTATAGGAGGTGGAGCTGGCAGAGAGGGGAGGAGAGGAGTGGTGCTGGACAAGAGAACAGGGGTTGTTCTTGTGGCAGCTTACTGTGTGTTTTTGTCTGCGCGATTGCTGGCGGTTTTGGGGGTGCTCCCACCGCTGCCGCAATGGTTTACAATTCTATAATGTCTGTCTGTATGCGGTAAATGAGTTGGTTATGCGTATTAGGCATTTCTGGTGCTCTTATCTCCAGACTTGGCAACTATTCTTGACCATGGTGGTGTACCTATCCTAAATTAAGTATACGTACGCCAACAACATGCGCATCTAGTGTAGTGGTATCATAGTACCCTCCCACGGTACTGACCGGGGTTCGATTCCCCGGATGCGCAGTATATTTTTCTACGCTCGTCTTTTTGCCATACCGTCCTATTTTATTCACGACAGCACTGGTCGCGGCGTTGGCTTTCTTGTATACCGCCGTTCGCGCTACTACGTCGACCGTCTTGACACACAAGCCGACGACGACCCGATAACTTTCACAAACTCGCGATTAACAGGGACGCGCTTGTGACTCGTATACGGGTCGGCGTGACGCTACGAGGCGAAGTCTGGAAGCCTTTGGAATTAGTAGTTATTAAAACGGCGTTGGTGTGCAAACCGAGCTGGTATCTACAGCGGCCCGACATCATTTGTGCTACGCTTTAACGCCAAGACAGTTAGCTCCGCAGGAAGCCGCGCAGAATACGTATACGGTGGTGGTGACAGCGATTCGTACTTATTAGTAACCGTTCTTGCCCCTGTTGCTGATTAGTTGGTGCTTGTAGGTGCTCGTAGGTTCTCGTAGGTGCTTGTAGGTTCTCGTAGGTGCTTGTAGGTCCTAATAGGTGCTGGTGGGGTGCGATGGAGTATGAAGCCCGATCCGCAAGAGACGGCGCATGGTAAGGCGCGTGGGGCATGGTGAAGGAGATTGGTACATATGGGAGCATGGTGCATGTTGCTTGTAAAGGAGATCGGTGCATGACGGTTCTTGACGGTGCGTGACGGTGCATGGTACATAATCAATGGTAACAGGGCGTGCTGTATGGTATATGCAGAGTGGTGTTGGTGTACATTGTTTTGTGTAAAACGTTATCACCAATTCTTTCTCCGTTTCTCCTCGTTATGTCTCCTTATCACAATTTTCTCACCATTCTCACCATTCCCACCCATTCTTACCCATTCTCACCCATCCCCATCCATTCTTTCCAGGTATGACGTGGCAAGCCTCCTGGCGCATCGGAAGACCGAATCCGGTGAAGAGGTGAGTCAGCAAGGGGATAAGGTCAGTCAGCAAGGGGATGTTCTGTTGTCGCAATAAGTAGAAACGATTGATTCAGCAGGGATAATTCCTGCACCTGTCTCCTCCTGCCTATTTCCCATTTTCTCCGCGCGTTCCCTGCTCCCTTTGCTCCCCCAACCTCTCCCCCAACCTCTCCCCCAACCTCTCCCCCAACCTCCCCCCTCTCCCAAGTGCTGGTGCGCTTCTTCATTGTCTTAGCAGATGAGGAGGACGAATGGATGTCGGCTCGCCACCCTCCCCTACCGTCTTGCCTGCCTGGGAGCAATCTGTCTGCCTGCTACTGCCTGAAACCCGCCTGCTGGCTCAGACAGATTATTGAGGCGCCTCAAAAGCTCGCTCCCCCTTCCCTACCGTCTTGCCTGCCTGGGAGCAATCTGTCTGCCTGCTACTGCCTGAAACCCAACCCGCCTGTGGCTCTACACACCTTATTTCCCAATCTCTCCCATTTATCCCTGCTTCCTCTCCTCCCTATTCCCCCCTCCCCCCCTCCACAACCGAGTAGCAAGTGCTCGTTCGTTTCTCTGGCTCGCAGAGAAGAAGAGGACGAGTGGGTCTCAGCCCGCCTCTCATGCCCCATTTGTTCCCTTCCCTCTCCTGCCTTCCCTCCTGCTCCACCCACGCCCAAGCAGCAAGTACTGGTGCGATTCTTTGGCTTTGCAAACGAGGAGGACGAGTGGGTCTTGGCCGGCCTCTCATGCCCCATGTGTTCCCTTCACTCTTCCTCCTCCCCCCCTGCTCCACCCACACCCGAGCAGCAAGTACTAGTTCGTTTCTTCGCCTTTGCAGATGAGGAGGACGAGTGGGTCTCAGCTCGTCTTTCCGTGCGCCCGCGCTCCGAGTGTGTTGCCGTGCTGCCTGGGGATGAGACGTGCTGCCTGGGGATGAGACGTGCTGCCTGGGGATGAGACGTGCTGCCTGGGGATGAGACGTGCTGCCTGGGGATGAGACGTGCTGCCTGGGGATGAGACGTGCTGCCTGGGGATGAGACGTGCTGCCTGGGGATGAGACGTGCTGCCTGGGGATGAGACGTGCTGCCTGGGGATGAGACGTGCTGCCTGGGGATGAGACGTGCTGCCTGGGGATGAGACGTGCTGCCTGGGGATGAGACGTGCTGCCTGGGGATGAGACGTGCTGCCTGGGGATGAGACGTGCTGCCTGGGGATGAGACGTGCTGCCTGGGGATGAGACGTGCTGCCTGGGATGAGACGTGCTGCCTGGGGATGAGACGTGCTGCCTGGGGATGAGACGTGCTGCCTGGGGATGAGACGTGCTGCCTGGGGATGAGACGTGCTGCCTGGGGATGAGACGTGCTGCCTGGGGATGAGACGTGCTGCCTGGGGATGAGACGTGCTGCCTGGGGATGAGACGTGCTGCCTGGGGATGAGACGTGCTGCCTGGGGATGAGACGTGCTGCCTGGGGATGAGACGTGCTGCCTGGGGATGAGACGTGCTGCCTGGGGATGAGACGTGCTGCCTGGGGATGAGACGTGCTGCCTGGGGATGAGACGTGCTGCCTGGGGATGAGACGTGCTGCCTGGGGATGAGACGTGCTGCCTGGGGATGAGACGTGCTGCCTGGGATGAGACGTGCTGCCTGGGGATGAGACGTGCTGCCTGGGATGAGACGTGCTGCCTGGGGATGAGACGTGCTGCCCTGGGATGAGACGTGCTGCCTGGGGATGAGACGTGCTGCCTGGGATGAGACGTGCTGCCTGGGGATGAGACGTGCTGCCTGGGGATGAGACGTGCTGCCTGGGGATGAGACGTGCTGCCTGGGGATGAGACGTGCTGCCTGGGGATGAGACGTGCTGCCTGGGGTTGAGACGTGCTGCCTGGGGATGAGACGTGCTGCCTGGGGATGAGACGTGCTGCCTGGGGTTGAGACGTGCTGCCTGGGGATGAGACGTGCTGCCTGGGAATGAGACATGCTGCCTGGGGATGAGACGTGCTGCCTGGGGATGAGACGTGCTGCCTGGGGATGAGACGTGCTGCCTGGGGATGAGACGTGCTGCCTGGGGATGAGACGTGCTGCCTGGGGATGAGACGTGCTGCCTGGGGATGAGACGTGCTGCCTGGGGTTGAGACGTGCTGCCTGGGGTTGAGACGTGCTGCCTGGGGATGAGACGTGCTGCCTGGGGTTGAGACGTGCTGCCTGGGGATGAGACGTGCTGCCTGGGGATGAGACGTGCTGCCTGGGGATGAGACGTGCTGCCTGGGGATGAGACGTGCTGCCTGGGGATGAGACGTGCTGCCTGGGGTTGAGACGTGCTGCCTGGGGTTGAGACGTGCTGCCTGGGGATGAGACGTGCTGCCTGGGGATGAGACGTGCTGCCTGGGGATGAGACGTGCTGCCTGGGGATGAGACGTGCTGCCTGGGGTTGAGACGTGCTGCCTGGGGATGAGACGTGCTGCCTGGGGATGAGACGTGCTGCCTGGGGTTGAGACGTGCTGCCTGGGGATGAGACGTGCTGCCTGGGGATGAGACATGCTGCCTGGGGATGAGACGTGCTGCCTGGGGATGAGACGTGCTGCCTGGGGTTGAGACGTGCTGCCTGGGGATGAGACGTGCTGCCTGGGGTTGAGACGTGCTGCCTGGGGATGAGACGTGCTGCCTGGGGATGAGACGTGCTGCCTGGGGATGAGACGTGCTGCCTGGGGATGAGACGTGCTGCCTGGGGATGAGACGTGCTGCCTGGGGATGAGACGTGCTGCCTGGGGATGAGACGTGCTGCCTGGGGATGAGACATGCTGCCTGGGGATGAGACGTGCTGCCTGGGGATGAGACGTGCTGCCTGGGGATGAGACGTGCTGCCTGGGGATGAGACGTGCTGCCTGGGGATGAGACGTGCTGCCTGGGGATGAGACGTGCTGCCTGGGGATGAGACATGCTGCCTGGGGATGAGACGTGCTGCCTGGGGATGAGACGTGCTGCCTGGGGATGAGACGTGCTGCCTGGGGATGAGACGTGCTGCCTGGGGATGAGACGTGCTGCCTGGGGATGAGACGTGCTGCCTGGGGATGAGACGTGCTGCCTGGGGATGAGACGTGCTGCCTGGGGATGAGACGTGCTGCCTGGGGTTGAGACGTGCTGCCTGGGGATGAGACGTGCTGCCTGGGGATGAGACGTGCTGCCTGGGGATGAGACGTGCTGCCTGGGGATGAGACGTGCTGCCTGGGGATGAGACGTGCTGCCTGGGGATGAGACGTGCTGCCTGGGGATGAGACGTGCTGCCTGGGGATGAGACGTGCTGCCTGGGGATGAGACGTGCTGCCTGGGGATTGAGACGTGCTGCCTGGGGATGAGACGTGCTGCCTGGGGATGAGACGTGCTGCCTGGGGATGAGACGTGCTGCCTGGGGATGAGACGTGCTGCCTGGGGATGAGACGTGCTGCCTGGGGATGAGACGTGCTGCCTGGGATGAGACGTGCTGCCTGGGGATGAGACGTGCTGCCTGGGGATGAGACGTGCTGCCTGGGGATGAGACGTGCTGCCTGGGGATTGAGACGTGCTGCCTGGGGATGAGACGTGCTGCCTGGGGATGAGACGTGCTGCCTGGGGATGAGACGTGCTGCCTGGGGATGAGACGTGCTGCCTGGGGTTGAGACGTGCTGCCTGGGGATGAGACGTGCTGCCTGGGGATGAGACGTGCTGCCTGGGGTTGAGACGTGCTGCCTGGGGATGAGACGTGCTGCCTGGGGATGAGACGTGCTGCCTGGGGATGAGACGTGCTGCCTGGGGATGAGACGTGCTGCCTGGGGATGAGACGTGCTGCCTGGGGATGAGACGTGCTGCCTGGGGATGAGACGTGCTGCCTGGGGATGAGACGTGCTGCCTGGGGATGAGACGTGCTGCCTGGGGTGAGACGTGCTGCCTGGGGATTGAGACGTGCTGCCTGGGGTTGAGACGTGCTGCCTGGGGATGAGACGTGCTGCCTGGGGATGAGACGTGCTGCCTGGGGATGAGACGTGCTGCCTGGGGATGAGACGTGCTGCCTGGGGATGAGACGTGCTGCCTGGGGATGAGACGTGCTGCCTGGGGATGAGACGTGCTGCCTGGGGATGAGACGTGCTGCCTGGGGATGAGACGTGCTGCCTGGGGATGAGACGTGCTGCCTGGGGATGAGACGTGCTGCCTGGGGTTGAGACGTGCTGCCTGGGGATGAGACGTGCTGCCTGGGGATGAGACGTGCTGCCTGGGGATGAGACGTGCTGCCTGGGGATGAGACGTGCTGCCTGGGGATGAGACGTGCTGCCTGGGGATGAGACGTGCTGCCTGGGGATGAGACGTGCTGCCTGGGGTTGAGACGTGCTGCCTGGGGATGAGACGTGCTGCCTGGGGATGAGACGTGCTGCCTGGGGATGAGACGTGCTGCCTGGGGATGAGACGTGCTGCCTGGGGATGAGACGTGCTGCCTGGGGATGAGACGTGCTGCCTGGGGATGAGACGTGCTGCCTGGGGATGAGACGTGCTGCCTGGGGATGAGACGTGCTGCCTGGGGATGAGACGTGCTGCCTGGGGATGAGACGTGCTGCCTGGGGATTGAGACGTGCTGCCTGGGGATGAGACGTGCTGCCTGGGGATGAGACGTGCTGCCTGGGGATGAGACGTGCTGCCTGGGGATGAGACGTGCTGCCTGGGGATGAGACGTGCTGCCTGGGGATGAGACGTGCTGCCTGGGGATGAGACGTGCTGCCTGGGGATGAGACGTGCTGCCTGGGGATGAGACGTGCTGCCTGGGGATGAGACGTGCTGCCTGGGGATGAGACGTGCTGCCTGGGGATGAGACGTGCTGCCTGGGGATGAGACGTGCTGCCTGGGGATGAGACGTGCTGCCTGGGGATGAGACGTGCTGCCTGGGGATGAGACGTGCTGCCTGGGGATGAGACGTGCTGCCTGGGGATGAGACGTGCTGCCTGGGATGAGACGTGCTGCCTGGGGATGAGACGTGCTGCCTGGGGATGAGACGTGCTGCCTGGGGATGAGACGTGCTGCCTGGGGATGAGACGTGCTGCCTGGGGATGAGACGTGCTGCCTGGGGATGAGACGTGCTGCCTGGGGATGAGACGTGCTGCCTGGGGATGAGACGTGCTGCCTGGGGATGAGACGTGCTGCCTGGGGATGAGACGTGCTGCCTGGGGATGAGACGTGCTGCCTGGGGATGAGACGTGCTGCCTGGGGATTGAGACGTGCTGCCTGGGGATGAGACGTGCTGCCTGGGGATGAGACGTGCTGCCTGGGGATGAGACGTGCTGCCTGGGGATGAGACGTGCTGCCTGGGGATGAGACGTGCTGCCTGGGGATGAGACGTGCTGCCTGGGGATGAGACGTGCTGCCTGGGGTTGAGACGTGCTGCCTGGGGATGAGACGTGCTGCCTGGGATGAGACGTGCTGCCTGGGGATGAGACGTGCTGCCTGGGGATGAGACGTGCTGCCTGGGGATGAGACGTGCTGCCTGGGGATGAGACGTGCTGCCTGGGGATGAGACGTGCTGCCTGGGGTTGAGACGTGCTGCCTGGGGATGAGACGTGCTGCCTGGGGATGAGACGTGCTGCCTGGGGATGAGACGTGCTGCCTGGGGATGAGACGTGCTGCCTGGGGATGAGACGTGCTGCCTGGGGATGAGACGTGCTGCCTGGGGATGAGACGTGCTGCCTGGGGATGAGACGTGCTGCCTGGGGATGAGACGTGCTGCCTGGGGATGAGACGTGCTGCCTGGGATGAGACGTGCTGCCTGGGGATGAGACGTGCTGCCTGGGGATGAGACGTGCTGCCTGGGGATGAGACGTGCTGCCTGGGGATGAGACGTGCTGCCTGGGATGAGACGTGCTGCCTGGGGATGAGACGTGCTGCCTGGGGATGAGACGTGCTGCCTGGGGATGAGACGTGCTGCCTGGGGATGAGACGTGCTGCCTGGGGATGAGACGTGCTGCCTGGGGATGAGACGTGCTGCCTGGGGATGAGACGTGCTGCCTGGGGATGAGACGTGCTGCCTGGGGATGAGACGTGCTGCCTGGGGTTGAGACGTGCTGCCTGGGGATGAGACGTGCTGCCTGGGGTTGAGACGTGCTGCCTGGGGATGAGACGTGCTGCCTGGGGATGAGACATGCTGCCTGGGGATGAGACGTGCTGCCTGGGGATGAGACGTGCTGCCTGGGGATGAGACGTGCTGCCTGGGGATGAGACGTGCTGCCTGGGGATGAGACGTGCTGCATGGGGATGAGACGTGCTGCCTGGGATGAGACGTGCTGCCTGGGGTTGAGACGTGCTGCCTGGGGTTGAGACGTGCTGCCTGGGGATGAGACGTGCTGCCTGGGGATGAGACATGCTGCCTGGGGATGAGACGTGCTGCCTGGGGATGAGACGTGCTGCCTGGGGATGAGACGTGCTGCCTGGGGATGAGACGTGCTGCCTGGGATGAGACGTGCTGCCTGGGGATGAGACGTGCTGCCTGTGGATGAGACGTGCTGCCTGGGGATGAGACGTGCTGCCTGGGGTTGAGACGTGCTGCCTGGGGATGAGACGTGCTGCCTGGGGATGAGACGTGCTGCCTGGGGATGAGACGTGCCGTGCTGCCTGGGGATGAGACGTGCTGCCTGGGGATGAGACGTGCTGCCTGGGGATGAGACGTGCTGCCTGGGGATGAGACGTGCTGCCTGGGATGATGACGTGCTGCCTGGGATGAGACGTGCTGCCTGGGGATGAGACGTGCTGCCTGGGGATGAGACGTGCTGCCTGGGGATGAGACGTGCTGCCTGGGGATGAGACGTGCTGCCTGGGATGAGACGTGCTGCCTGGGGATGAGACGTGCTGCCTGGGGATGAGACGTGCTGCCTGGGATGAGACGTGCTGCCTGGGGATGAGACGTGCTGCCTGGGGATGAGACGTGCTGCCTGGGGATGAGACGTGCTGCCTGGGGATGGCGCGCGCTGACTGGGGCTGAGACGTGCTGCCTGGGGATGAGACGTGCTGCCTGGGGATGAGACGTGCTGCCTGGGGATGAGACGTGCTGCCTGGGGATGAGACGTGCTGCCTGGGGATGAGACGTGCTGCCTGGGGATGAGACGTGCTGCCTGGGGATGAGACGTGCTGCCTGGGGATGAGACGTGCTGCCTGGGGATGAGACGTGCTGCCTGGGGATGAGACGTGCTGCCTGGGGATGAGACGTGCTGCCTGGGGATGAGACGTGCTGCCTGGGGATGAGACGTGCTGCCTGGGGATGAGACGTGCTGCCTGGGGATGAGACGTGCTGCCTGGGGATGAGACGTGCTGCCTGGGGATGAGACGTGCTGCCTGGGGATGAGACGTGCTGCCTGGGGATGAGACGTGCTGCCTGGGGATGAGACGTGCTGCCTGGGGATGAGACGTGCTGCCTGGGGATGAGACGTGCTGCCTGGGGATGAGACGTGCTGCCTGGGGATGAGACGTGCTGCCTGGGGATGAGACGTGCTGCCTGGGGATGAGACGTGCTGCCTGGGGATGAGACGTGCTGCCTGGGGATGAGACGTGCTGCCTGGGGATGAGACGTGCTGCCTGGGGATGAGACGTGCTGCCTGGGGATGAGACGTGCTGCCTGGGGATGAGACGTGCTGCCTGGGGATGAGACGTGCTGCCTGGGGTTGAGACGTGCTGCCTGGGGATGAGACGTGCTGCCTGGGGTTGAGACGTGCTGCCTGGGGATGAGACGTGCTGCCTGGGGATGAGACGTGCTGCCTGGGGATGAGACGTGCTGCCTGGGGATGAGACGTGCTGCCTGGGGATGAGACGTGCTGCCTGGGGATGAGACGTGCTGCCTGGGGATGAGACGTGCTGCCTGGGGATGAGACGTGCTGCCTGGGGATGAGACGTGCTGCCTGGGGACGAGACGTGCTGCCTGGGGATGAGACGTGCTGCCTGGGGGATGAGACGTGCTGCCTGGGGATTGAGACGTGCTGCCTGGGGATGAGACGTGCTGCCTGGGGATGAGACGTGCTGCCTGGGGACGAGACGTGCTGCCTGGGGATGAGACGTGCTGCCTGGGGATGAGACGTGCTGCCTGGGGATGAGACGTGCTGCCTGGGGATGAGACGTGCTGCCTGGGGATGAGACGTGCTGCCTGGGGATGAGACGTGCTGCCTGGGGATGAGACGTGCTGCCTGGGGATGAGACGTGCTGCCTGGGGATGAGACGTGCTGCCTGGGGATGAGACGTGCTGCCTGGGGATGAGACGTGCTGCCTGGGGATGAGACGTGCTGCCTGGGGATGAGACGTGCTGCCTGGGGATGAGACGTGCTGCCTGGGGATGAGACGTGCTGCCTGGGGATGAGACGTGCTGCCTGGGGATGAGACGTGCTGCCTGGGGATGAGACGTGCTGCCTGGGGATGAGACGTGCTGCCTGGGGATGAGACGTGCTGCCTGGGGATGAGACGTGCTGCCTGGGGATGAGACGTGCTGCCTGGGGATGAGACGTGCTGCCTGGGGATGAGACGTGCTGCCTGGGGATGAGACGTGCTGCCTGGGGATGAGACGTGCTGCCTGGGGATGAGACTGCTGCCTGGGGATGAGACGTGCTGCCTGGGGATGAGACGTGCTGCCTGGGGATGAGACGTGCTGCCTGGGGATGAGACGTGCTGCCTGGGGATGAGACGTGCTGCCTGGGGATGAGACGTGCTGCCTGGGGATGAGACGTGCTGCCTGGGGATGAGACGTGCTGCCTGGGGATGAGACGTGCTGCCTGGGGATGAGACGTGCTGCCTGGGGATGAGACGTGCTGCCTGGGGATGAGACGTGCTGCCTGGGGATGAGACGTGCTGCCTGGGGATGAGACGTGCTGCCTGGGGATGAGACGTGCTGCCTGGGGATGAGACGTGCTGCCTGGGGATGAGACGTGCTGCCTGGGGATGAGACGTGCTGCCTGGGGATGAGACGTGCTGCCTGGGGATGAGACGTGCTGCCTGGGGATGAGACGTGCTGCCTGGGGATGAGACGTGCTGCCTGGGGATGAGACGTGCTGCCTGGGGATGAGACGTGCTGCCTGGGGATGAGACGTGCTGCCTGGGGATGAGACGTGCTGCCTGGGGATGAGACGTGCTGCCTGGGGATGAGACGTGCTGCCTGGGGATGAGACGTGCTGCCTGGGGATGAGACGTGCTGCCTGTCTGTAACGGCCTGCCCACCTGCTGGTCTATACACCCCTTTTTCCCAATCTTTTCATTTCTCTTTTCCTGCTTTTCTCTCCTCTCTCTTCCCTCTCACCCTATGTGCGGGCAGCAAGTACTAGTGCGTTTCTTTGGTTTTGCCGACGAAGAAGACGAGTGGGTGTCAGCCCGTCTTTCCGTGCGCCCGCGCTCCCTTCCCTGCGAGGGCTCCGAGTGTGTCGCCGTGCTGCCTGGGGACGTGGTTCTCTGCTTCCAGGAAGCTTCCGACCAGGCGCTGTATTTTGATGCTGATGTGCGGGACGTGCAGAGGAGGCGGCATGACGTGAGGGGGTGTCGGTGCCGCTTTTGGGTGCGATACCGGCACGACAACACTGAAGTAAGGGACGTTAGAGAATGCTTGAAGTAAGGGACAGCACTAAAACGCTTTTGCGGTACCGACACGACAACACTGAAGTAAGGGACGTTGAGTTGATGGACATTAGACCTCCGCAGCCCACCTGTTTATTCCTGACAGCACCGATACCGGCCTGACAACACTGAAGTAAGGGACGTTAGAGAATGCAAGGGCAGGTTCAGCTTGGGGATGTTCGGGACGTGCAGAGGAGAAGGCATGATGTGAGGGGGTGCAGGTGCCGGTTCTGGGTGCGACACCGGCATGACAATACCGAGGTGAGGGATGGTACAGTATGCAAGGCAGGTTCTGGGTGCGGACATGCGGGACGTGCAGAGGAGGCGGCACGACGTGAGGGGGTGTCCGTGCCCGGTTCTGGGTGCGGTACCGGCACGACAACACCGAGGTGAGTGCTGTGCTGCTCTTGTGAGGGGGGTCGTGACAACACGGATCCACTGATGTGCAGTGGAGAAGATACATGACTACTGGTAAGAGACAGAGTACAGAGTGAAAGTGGATAACCCTCCTTTCCCCTCAACTCCCAGCTCACTTTCCCTTTCTCTTGTTCCCTTCTCCTCACCTCCCTTCTCGTCATCACGATTCAGGAGGTGGTGCCTCTGCGCGAGATTTGCCGAAGGCCCGAGACAGAAAACAGAGTGATCCCCCAGAGAACAGAGTAACGGGGCATAGCCCTCATTTCCCCTGGGAGAACAGAGAACGGGGCATAGCCCTCATTTCCCCTGGCCACTCCATTCACCTTCCCTCGATTCCGTGCCCGCATCCTCGATTCCGTGCCTCCTTCCTCCCTCCCCTCCTTCCTCCCTCCCCTCCTTCCCCCCTCCCCTCCTTCCTCCCTTCCCCCATTAGGAAGTAGTGTCTTTGCGCAAGATCTGTCGAAGTGAAGGCAGCACAGCATAAGAACTCACCCCCTTTGCCTTTCCGCCTTCCACCCTCCTGCTTCCCCCGTCAGGAAGTGGTAACTTTGCACAAGATATGCCTTAGGCCCGAGACTGAGTAACGATTTAAGGCATGAACCCCAATCTCACTCCCCTTGCCTTTTCACCCTCCTCCCGTTGTTTCCCCCATCAGGAGGTGGTGCCTCTGCGCAAGATCTGCCGAAGGCCTGAGACAGAGTACAGAGTGAGGGCAGCACAGCAGGTGGCCAAGGCGGTGGGGGGAGGGGAGGGGAAGAAGGCGAGCGTGAAGCAGAGTAAAGGGAATTAGCTGGAATGTAATACACAATAGAGTGAAGCAGAGTAACAGGGATTTACTGGACTGAAGGAGTTACGTGTGCAACCTGTTTTAATTGTAAAAAGGGCACCTCAAAAGTAGGTTTGGTATACCCTATGACTGAGCAGAGTGGAGGCTTTGCAGAAAATTGATAGCAATAAAATATTACAAAATATTAATTAACTAATGTCTTTCGGTGCGCACGGGGATGTAGCTCAGATGGTAGAGCGCTCGCTTAGCATGCGAGAGGTATGGGGATCGATACCCCACTTCTCCATAAGTTGGTTTTGTCTTTGCCATTTCCCTTGGGTATGAACTTTCACCACATCTTCCAGCATGTTTCTGGTTGTCTCTAATTCCCTTTCCCCTACCCTAAAAAGTTATGATAAAAGGTCATACCCAATGAGAAAGCATGCATCGATTGTGATATGTGCATCAAGCCCGAACACCTCAGCCGAACAAGGTCGTCAGGATGAATTTGCCAGTGTCGTCGACGAGGGTCGTCAAAGCCTCGGCTGACGGGGCGGAGCACTGACGCGCGTGCGGGCCCGCCAGCCTGGCCCAGGGCTGGGCCGAGCGCACGACCGCCGCCCCGCAGCCCCGCTCCGAATGTGAACAGCGGCCCACGTTACCGGGTGGGGTCGGCGAACTGGCGACAGCTCGCGCGTGGGAAAATTACCCTCGCGCGAAGGCAGCCCACACGGGCCACCTGCCCGCGATGTCCTAGTAACCCATCGCGGCCTGCCCGGACGGGCAGGCGAGGGCCAGGCGAAAAGTCGGGGCCCCCTCGGGACACTCGACAACTTCGCGACCCGTTGCGGTGACGCCACGTGTTCGCCCGCCTACTTCGCATCGGGCAACATGCAGAATTTGGTACATGGCGAATTCGATTTGGGACATTGCGAATTCGATTTCGATCGCTTCGCGGCGCACATTTTTCGCTTCGTGACGTGACATCGACTTGCTGGCTCGGCGGCGAACGAGAACTTGTGCCACTTGTGCACGAGCCCGCCAAACCCCGCCGAGGCAGGCACCACGAGGGCTGGGCGATGCCTCGACCGTTTCTGTGGGGCACCGACCCCCTTTTTTTGGTGGAAGGGGGCATCGCTCCTCATTTTCGGCATCTCGTTTCCCTTTCCACCTTTTCCCCAGCTCTGCGCCTTCTCCCAAATTCACGTCCCTTAGCCTGTAGCCGCTTCCCTTCACCGCCATGTCGGCTGCCCCGAAAGTCGGCGAAGTGACGCCGACTTCGCAGGACTTCCCTCTGTATCTCGACCTGGGTAGTGGACTCACTGCCAAGCTCGACGAACACGACTACGCCGTCCTCGTAGACCATAGGCTAGAGTTCAACGCCCGTTGCTTGGGATTCGGCCTCAAGTGAGTGTCCGTATTGGGATGTCGACGTCGACCGCTGGATACCTTGCAGGTCGACGTTGTTAGGGTTGTCCCACGTTTTGGTTGGCGCTACTAGTTTAGGGTTTAGATCACTACTCGGTGGCGCACACAGCCGTAGGTCGGCACCGGACCCCGATCACTACTACAGTAGGTCGGTGCCCGCATCGGTAGGCGCCATTGATTACAACGTAGCGACGGTGATGCACCGTTCTACTATCGCCATCCCCGTCAGTTGTCGGTTCCATAACCCACGTGTCCATCCGTCGTGCCGTGCACGTCCTCAAACACATCTACTATCCATTCATGCGTGCAGGTACGCATGGATTCGCGCGGCGCCGGCCAACATGCGATTGTGGTCGATAGGACTCGGCCGGCTTCGGGCGGCGATGGGCAAGGAAGACCACTCGTGCTTTGCTACGGTGTTCGACGCCGACGTAGCTGTTATCCCTCTGTATTCGAGGTGAGCCCAAGTCATGATGGTGTGCCATGATGCCTATGTCGCTACTCCGTTCTGATCGACGTCGTGGTGCCTAGCCTGTGCAGCATCGCACCGCTTCCAGGGGCACATTGCAGCGTCGTGGTCATCCTGTGCCCCGGCGACTTGTTGCGGGCCGGGGGGGAGACGATCAGGACATCTGTCAGGCACTTTGACCCGCAAACCGTGAAGTAGTGGCACCGCGATGAGGCGATCCGCGTGCTGAAGTGAGCTCGATAGTGTAGTCGACGACGCATGCAATTTCGCCGCTGGGCGTTAAGCAAGTCTACTGACGATATGTGCCATGTTGCTTCAGGTTTTTCCGGGCGGCGGTGCTGGCCGAGCTCGGCCGCGATGGCCGGCAGTGGGAGTGGCCGAAGCCTTCTGCTGAAGAGGTGGCGGACAGGCTCGCCGACTGCGATGAACCCGTTCGAGATGTGAGTACCGATCGTTTTACCGTTGCCGCCGTCGGTGCTCATCCTTGCTCTCTGCTCTGTTGTTTGCAGAAAGTGCGCGACACCATCCGGGACAGCGACGCAGGCTCTGGCCTCCTATCAATGAGCGCGCTGTGCTGGGTGGTGAAGAGGATGGATCGCCTGATCGGCGACGACCGTCGCAGTGCGACCAGCATGGACAAGGTCCTCGTTTCGGGGTTGAAGGATCTGCGGATTCGGATGACCACATACATCAAGGAACACGTCGCACGAAAACGGTCAGGCCATGTCGGAGTTGCTGCCGATGCCTGTGACGACGACGCCGCGGAGGCCCCTTCGGCATTCCAAGCAGTCGGTGTCGCCGACACCAGCGGAGAGGCCGGAGACGGCGTCGACAAGGCAGATGAGAAGGCAGAAAGGTCTGTGGCGAGGACCGCGGATCAGGAAAAGGAGGAGGAGGATCGTGAGGAGCGTGAGCAAGGGCATGGGTAGGAGGAGGAGGTGGTGGAGGAGGAGGAGGAGGAGGAGGAGGAGGAGGAGGAGGAGGAGGAGGAGGAGGAGGAGGAGGAGGATGAGGAGGAGGAGGAGGACAAGGCGGCGGCGGCGGCGGAGGCCGTGGAGCAGGGTTTCGGGTCGGTGGAGCAGGTGGCGGAGGGGGAGAAGCAGCAAGAGGGGGAGGAGGAGGTAGAGTTCCCCTGGGTCGAATTCGAGATGGAGGATGTTGAGGGAGCGGCGGCGGTGGCCGTGGAGGGAGCGGCGGCGGCCGTGGAGGGAACGGGTGGGATGTCGGCGGATGTTGTGTACGTACGAGGGGAGGGTGCCGATGTGGAGAATGTCGGCGTGGAGGAGGCGCACGTGGTCGGCAATGTGGTTGGCGACGCGAAGGAGGAGGATAACGCCACGACCCCGACGCCGACGGGCGTGGAGACCACCACAGGGAACGCAGGGGTGGAACGCCGGGGTGGAGTGGTAGAGGCAGGCCGTCAACCGGGTTCCTCAGCAGCTGGTCGGCAGGCAACTCCGGCCGTCGTCGCGCAGCTGCGACAGGAGAACAGGTGGCTGAGGGCTGAAAATGCTCGTCTCGAGACGGCGCTCGGAGTGGAGAGGGGTCGGGTGGACAGTTATGCGATGGGGATTGGCCGCCTCGTGGACAAGCTCAGGTCGTTGGCCGACCAGGTCGCCGCCTCCGACCAGGACGCGTCGAGTCGGCTGATGGACGCGTCCTTGACCATGGCGACGACCGTGACGGAGAACATCACCGCCAACATGGGTGAAGCATGGGATGCGATGAAGGCGTACGCCGAGAGGGCGGAGTGCTGGTTGGACGATCTAGAGAATCCGGAGGGGTTTATGGCGGTGCAACGTGCGAACGCGGTCGTCGCCATGGGCAACCACGTGGACGAAGCAAGGAAGGGATTGGAGGAATACATATCGAAGCACCAAGTCGCCGCGCAGACCAACATCGCCGCCGCGGTAACTCAACGCGTCGCCGTCCCGCCGCCCACGCCGCCCGCCCCACCGCCAGCCTTCCCGGACGAGCTCATGAAGTCTTTCAAGGCGGACGTGTTGAAGGCGGTGACTGAGGCCACCCAGCAGTCGTTTGTTGCGTCCGGGTTAAACCTCATGACCCAGGTGATCGGCCATCTGGCGCCTGGTCGGCATGGGTCGTCGCCGTCGGCCAATGAGGCCGACAAAAAGGGTGCGAAAAGGGCGGGCGGCGGAGATGATGCGTTGAGCTCGAAGCGGAGCAAGGGAGCCGATGGGAGCCGCGGCGTCGGCCAGGTGGGTCCAGGCGGCTCGCGGAGCAAGGGAGCCGACGGGAGCGGAGGTACGAGCGTGGTCGACCAGCTCAAGAAGAACGGGGCCAAGGTGATAAGGACGCACAGCAAGGGCGATGGAATCAGGAGTGCGGAGGGGGGCCCTGCCGACCAGGTTGCCGCTCAAGAGGCTGGACCAACAGCCCCGCCATTGGTCGCCGAGAAGCCGGCCAGTCTAGCGACCGCACCAACGGCGATAGATGGCGGCGCCAAAACCGTCAAGGGACCGTCCGGCGGAGTGGCGGGGACCACGTCGATCCCCCGCAACCCCCCTGCGGCTAGCAGCGCGCCGATCTCCCCGTCAGCCGCCAACAACGATGGGCCGTCCCTTGCGGCTTCTCCAGCACCAGCAGGCACGTGTGGCGCCAAGGTTGACGCGGTGGATGTTGCGGCTAACCGCGCTGGTCTGTCCGCCCCAAAGGCGAAGGCGCTCAGGGAGATGCTCAGCCGCATGGAGACCCATCGATAGGACGTGCAGCAGCCTCCCGTGGTCGGTACCGCGCCGGCCACAACAGCACGTCGCTCGGTCACTCCCCAGGTCGCCGCCACATTGTCCAGTGCCCCACCTACCGCGTCTATCATCGCCGCCCGTCCTCCTGTGGACCCAAAGTCCGAGTTGCTTCGCGCCCGGTTAGGCGCACGTACTTTGGCAGCGCCCGCACGGGCTCAGCCGGTATCCAGCTCATGCGCGACGCCGACGTCGGTGACCGTAGCTGCACACACACTCGGTGCGGCTACTGTCGAGGCGGTGGCGGAGAAGGGCGTGAGTGTAGCGCTAGCCACGGGCGGCAGATCAGTTGACCCTACACAGGCGGCGAAGGACCACAACGACGCCGATATCGCTGTCATCCAGGACCTGTTGGAAGCCGTAAACCGCCCCAAGAAGCCCCCTATGCTGGCCATCTTGGACTCGGCGAGTCCCACCGGTTGTACAGCGGAGCCAAAGACGACCACTGCTGCGGTCGGCGCGAGAAAGTCGAAACGGAAGGGGACGGTCGACGCAGGGAAAGCGAGGCCGAGCTCGAAGAAGAAAACACGGGCGACGTTGGCGATGGTGAAGTCGGTGGAGAAAGGATAGGGGATGGCGACGGCGATGGTGAAGGAGAAGGCGGCGGAGAAAGGGAAGGAGAAGGAGAAGGAGATGGAGGAGAAGAAGGAGAAGGAGGAGGAGAAGGAGAAGGAGGAGAAGGAGGAGGAGGAGAAGGAGAAGGAGGAGGAGGAGGAGGAGGAGGAGGAGGAGGAGGAGGAGGAGGAGGAGGAGGAGGAGGAGGAGGAGGAGGAGGAGGAGGAGGAGGAGGAGGAGGAGAAGGAGAAGGTGGAGGAGGCGGAGGTGGAGGAGGAGAAGGCGGCGACAGAGGAGGAGAAGGTGAAGGTGAAAGAACGGAAGGGTCATGGCATCCGCCACGACACCACGGGCGACAAGCAAGGGTGGGTGGGCGAGATTAAGGTGGTCGGGAACGAGAGCAGATACATCGGCAAGTCCCGCGAGAAGATGGAGCTGGCGTACCTTCACTCGATTGTGTACCTCCTGTACGACGGTTACGTCAGCAAGATCCTCATGGCCGAGCTCACCGGCTTGGAGGAAACAGTGATGAAGCAGTGGAGGGCGGTGTGGAAAGAAGTCCGGTTCTTGCCGACTGGGATGTGGACGGTGATATGGGCACGGGGCGCGTTCCTCCCAAAGACACGGTAAGTCGGATAAACGTCGGCCAAGCGATGATGTCGAAGTCGGCGTTCCTAACGGCCAGTTTCGTGTGATTGCGTGACACGTTCGATGATATCCTCGGGAAGTATCGAGCGTACAAGACATCAGGCGATGCGCACCACGACGCGCTTTTGCCCGCAATCTGGTTCCCCGTCGATGCCGACACGAAGGAAGGGAAGCAGAAATTGGATGCAATGATGTCGGCCATGATTGATCGCGTGTCCTTATGCGCGGCGTATGGGAAGGTCGCTGCATCCGCGGCGAGAAAGGAGGGCGACACGGATGAGACGACGGCGAAGGTCGCACAGGCGCTATCGGCCTCCGCTTGCGCCCTGTGGTGCTTAGTCGAGGGCGACGGCGCCCAGGTGGCTGATGCCGTGCGCGAAGGGAAGGCGGCGGCGATGTTGGTCGGCGCGAGCGAGAGTACCGCCGCCGAGTTCAAGAAGGTCATGACGGCGGTGTTGGAGGCCGCGATGAGCAGGCAGCAACCCCTCGGGGAGGTTGCGCACGTCGCACCTGCGCTGGAGTCCACCGCTCTGGCCAAAGCCTATCCGGGGTTGGATGTTGATGCCGAGGCCAAATTGATCGCACGAGCGACGGTGGAAACCCTCGCGTTCTGGGGAATGTGCCCCGTGGATGGGCCGAAACTCAGGAAGATCGGCATCGCGGTGCCGCTTGACGCGCAGATGGAGTACGATATCGAACACAGGGGGAGGAAGAGGCAGAGGGGCAAGCAGGGGAAGGATAGCTCGGGGAAGAAGGGCAGAGCGGGCAAGGACAGCACGGCGGCGTAGTCGGCATAACAATCTGCCATGGGCGGCAGGAGGGAGCGCAAGTAGGTCTTCTTGCTAGGATGGCCTGATATGGGCGGCGTCGATTGTGTAGTTTTCGTTTGGATTTTTTTTCGTTTGATTGTATATTTTTCGTTGGGATTTCTTTTCGTTTGTGGTTGCGTATTTCTTTTGTTGGCTGTAACTTTTTGGTAGTGCATGTTACTAGAACACTCCTCGGCAAGGTCGACCTGATCTCTACCATGTTACTCAGATGCGGGCCCGGTTCGATGAACCCCGTCGGCGTATAACAACTCGGCGTCGTACGGTGTCGACATAGTGCGTCTGGCTGTATGCATGTATATACTCGGCGATGAGCCTCGTCGGCTAGACCGAGATGGTCAATGGTCGGCACTTTGGGGAATGTGCCGCGCCGCCCAGGTGGCCGAAACTCTAGGAGGTCGGCATCGATGTGCCGTTTGACGCGCATATCGAGCGGGCAAGGACAGCACGGATGCGTAGTCGGCGCGCGGAGGGAGCGCTAAGTTGTATGATTGCTCGGTTATAGCGTGATCGGCGCCGTTTGCGCCGTTTGCATGCAGTCAGCGATGTCGACATGAATAAGGCACAATGAATTGCACGCACATGGTGGCGACTATGTCGGAGTCCGACATATCTGGTTCGGATGTATGTGTTGGATCATGTATGTTCGTGTTGCATCACCATCAACAAGTACAATGGGATCACTACGGTTTGCTAAATTAGGGCATCATCAACCTACGCTAACACATATGCACCGAGGATCTTCATGCCGACTTCTTGCGCTTTGACGGAGGACGCTGCGCAGGTGCGGTCTGCTTGGCCAAGTCGGCCATGGTCTTCGGCATCTGCTCCTCCCAGGTGTCTGGAAACAGGCGGTCGACCCACGTCGTCGGCTTCAGCTCGAGCGCCACCAGCGCACAGGCGAGGCGTAGCTTCGAGACCACCTTGGGGCCAAGCCCCTTGACGCCCATGCCAGGCTCCTTGGACATCGTCGGTGTCGTCTCCGGGTTGAGCACGGTGAGGGCATCGCAGAAGGTCCCAATGCCCGGTGCCGCGATCGCGTTCAGTGCATCGACCACGACTTCGGTGTCGGCATCGCCGTCGCTCGCGCGTAGCTGGCGCACCGCATCCATGGCCTTCAGCATGCGGCGCACCGTCATGTTGAGTGCACCCTGGGTCGCGCCTTTGAGGAGGGTGTGGCGGTCGATGAACCCCGGCTCGGCGACCCTGTCGCAAAGACGACGGGTGTCATTGGCGGTGGCGGAGTTCTTGAGGCGCCAAGCGTCCCGCACGGTCTTTGAATCCCGCCAAGGTTGCACCACGTTGAGCTCGTAACTGGTCTCCTCTGCCGTCTTGGGGGGTGGCGGGGGTTTCCCATCATCTCTCTTGGCTCCGGTCACCGTGTTGGCCGAATCCGCGGAGCCACCCTCGCCCGGAGCTTGCTCGGTCGCCGACGGCGGCGCCGCCGGCATCCTCCGGGCTTCTGACACACGGAGTGCCTCGGTGACTCGAGCAAGCTCGGCGGTGAGCGACGCGATTGTGTTGTTTTGCATCTCGATCGTCTCCTGAAGGCCTAGCTTCTCGAGCGCCGAGCGCTCGACCTCCTTCTTTAGCGCCTCCTTGAGGGACATGTTGTGATACTGGGTGTCCATGCGGACGGATATTTCCTGCAATGTTGAGTGTGCGGAAAGGCGACAAGAGGTTAGAATTCACCGGCTAAAATTCAACGACGCCGACATGGTCGGCGACTCACCTCCAGCTGAATCTGAGTCGGTCCCGGCGCTTTTTGATCGTATCGGTGTCGACCGACTCGACCCTTTTCGCCCAGTGCTGGAAGAGGGCAATCCTGCAGAGCTTGGAACCTTGGACGTACGGGTGCCACGGTGTGCGGACGAGCTTCACCGCAAGGTCCTCGGCGACGATGCGTCGGAACATCACGAGGGTGCGCAAGAAGTGCACTGCGGCTGCATCGGCGTCGCTCACGTTGACGGCACGCGTCTCCGCCTGCAAGTCGGAAAGTGGCGTGGGTTAGTAGGGAGTTGGGCAGCCAACTAGGCCACGACGACTGAAAAACATTGTCGGCGTCGCGTGACATACATCGCGCAGCATAGCATCCACGCTGGGGAAGATGTGCTCGGCGAGCAGGTCCAGGAGTTTGTCGGAGGGCTCGACCCTGCTGCGCCCCAAGAAGTAGTCTTGCTTGAGTCCCGAGTAGCCGGCCTTCCGCATCACCACCCCAACGGGAATGGCCGTGATGTACGCACGAGTCATCTTGTCGAGAGCCCAGTGTCCTAGCTCGGCGATCTCCGCGCGCGGAGTCCCTCCGATGGCTAGCTCCTGCGCGCCTCCGGCGCGGGAGGCGTGCACGTTCCTTTTGCAGAACACCTTGTTGGTCGTCCACATCTGCCGAGTCCAACGTTGGTGGGTGGCGGCGGGGAGCTCCTCCTGCTCCTTGTCGTTTTTGGCGAAGAAGAGATGCTTCTTGTACCAGCGTTCGCGTTTTGTGGTGTCAAGCGGCGGAAGGAAGTCGGTGCCGGAGAACTGACCGATCTGGTCGAGGATGAAGTGCAGCCACAGGCCGGTCTCGCCGACGGCGCACACCATCGCTTCCAGGTGTCGCGCCGCGTAGCTCTGCTGAAGACGGGCATCCTTGGAAGTCTTCGAGTTACGCGCGGCGATCACCATGACGACCGGCTGGCTATCCGGGTTCACCTCCGAGGTGCTCGCCAGGTGGTACAAGAAGACGTCGGGTAGCGTGATCTCGCGGATGCTGGCGCCGCGCAGGAGAGAGTGGTGGGAGAGTAGCGTGAGCACCTTGACGAGCAGGAATCGCCACAGCGTCTGCGACGGAGTGGTTGCCCGCGGGTTCCACGCCGCCGCCGCCCATGTCGGCAGCACCCTCATCATGATCTGGCGGAACTGCTCGGCGGTGTAGGTATCACCGATGGTGCCGCGTCGACGGTCGGCGCAGTTCCTGAACGCAAATCGGCGGGGAAAATCTGTTAGACTACGTCGACTTCACAGTGCACAGTGATATAGAATAAGGTTGTCGACCAACTTACTTGATGTCCCTCTCGTTCTTGTGGCGGACGTTGAACCGCACCTCCGATCTGACCACCGAGATCTCCCTCATGATGCCCAGCTCCTTCTCTCGGTACAGCGTCGCCTCTACCCTCGCCGCCACCTGGCATGCCTTTATGCGCCCGAGGATCGTGTGCACAGTTGTTGACCTCACAGGCCCCGTTCGCGTGGCATTGTTCTCCTGTGGAAACAAAGAACGAGAATGGAATGACTATGAACGAAGTGAGTACAAATAGGAAACCCTAATTGGGTTGTACCCCCTATGGGATACCCCACTATAGCCTACAGAAACAAGTAAGCTATAAGTTCTGACACACCCCCATAGGCAAAGTGGGGGAGAACAAGGGGTCACAAGACCAGTCAAGCAAAGCAAAGCAAAGCTCAGGGTGGATCACAAAGTCACCACGCATTCCGAGCACAAGTTCAAAGGCCACAAGGCCAGTTCACATGCAAGATCATATATAGAGATATACAAAAAACAAGAGTATATATATGCGAAAGTACAAGCAAGGTCAAGAGGAGAGCAAGTGAGGCAAGACAGGCACAAGACCCAACTGCGTGCAGCAACGCTGATGATCACAAGGCGCAAGTGCCTTGGTGAAGACATCAGCAGTGTTGGCCTCAGAGGCCACGTACGCAAGTCGCAGCTGTCCACGCTGCTGTAGCTCACGAGCAAGAAAGTAACGAAGAGCAATGTGCTTCGTTCTGTGCTCCAGTCGCTGCTCTCGACACAAGGCCAGCATGGCCTTGTTGTCTACGTACAGGACTGGAGGAGAACGAGGCTGCTCTCCAAGGTCGGTCAGCAGGTAGGTGAGCCAACGTAACTCCTGTGCAGCCATAGCCCCAGCGTAGATCTCAGCCTCACAACTGGAGCCGAGAACAGAAGACGAGCGGGTAGCCCGCCACGAGACAGAGCCGGAACCAAGGCTGAAGGTGTAACCCTGTGACGACCGCTGCGTAGCCTGGTCGTCAGCCCAAGAAGCGTCTGTGTGCCCAGTGAGGACCACTGGACTGCGCCCTCCAAGCACTAGCCCCATGCCCGACGTACTGCACAAGTAGCGCAACACCCTCTTCGCTGCAGCCATGTGCTCTGGTCGGTGTCTCCCAGGAGCAACAAAGCGTGCGAGAATGCTAAGAGGGTATGCGAGGTCAGGTCGTGTGCAGGTCATCAGGTACATGAGGCAGCCAACAAGCTCTGCAAACGGGCCACTCGACTCTACGGACTCATCCGAAGGCAGAGCTGAGAGCGAGTGGCGAGTAGGCAGAGGAGTGGCCTGAGGCGAGGAGTACATGAAGCCGAAGCGCTGAAGGACCTGCTGCACCATGTGTGACTGAGTCAGGGTAATGGTGCGGCGTGCTCTGTCCCGGGTGATCTGCAAGCCAAGGTAGCTGCGCAGTTCACCCAGGTCAGTGCACGTGTGTCTCTTCTGCAGCTCGGACTTCACGTAGGCGAGTCCAGCAGTGTCAGCTGTGGCAAAGACCAAGTCGTCGACGTACACGAGGATGTAGAACGGCGGCAGAGAGGTGTCGGTGCGCAGAAACAGCGACGGGTCGGCAGTGGAAGGAGCAAACCCAAGTGCCGCCAGCGTAGTCCTCAGTGTGTCGTGCCACTCACGTGGCGCCTGGCGGAGACCGTAGACTGGACGCCGGAGACTCCACTGGGTACCAGGAGGGAAAGACCCAGTGAAGCCAGGTGGGCGACGCAGCCAGATCTCCTCGTGCAGGCTGCCCTGCAAGAAAGCTGTGCTGAAGTCGAGAGAGTGCAGCTCGTAGTCACGGTGAGCAGCAACGTGTAGCAGAACCCGAAGAGTGGTCATCTTCGGGGTGGGGGAGAAGGTCTGAAAGTAGTCAACCCCCTGCCGCTGACTGAAGCCACGAGCCACGTAACGCGCCTTGAAGACAGGCGGAGAACCCGGCGGCCGCTTCACCCTGAAAATCCACATGCCACTGACGATGTTCGCCCCAGGAGGGGGAACAGCGTCAACGTAGGTGCCTGTGGACTTCCAGGAAGCCATCTCTGCATCCATAGCTGCCTGCCACTGAGAGGAGTAGGGACCCTCTATCGCCTCCGCGTAAGAGCGCGGAGTCGGGATGTCTGGTGCATCCGGGTCTCCCTCAGGGGCTAGCAGTACAGACGCGAGACGAGGTGAAGCGGCGGCCAGACACTGGAACTCCTCCTGCCTGTCCTCAAGGACGTCCGTGCCAAGGGCACACTCACCCCCGACGGACGGAGGACAGGCGGACTCAGACTCAGTGACAAGACGAGCAGCGTAGTCCAGACGACAGCGCGCAGCAAAGTCGACAAGCTCAGTGACAAGGGCAGACGCAGCAGACGACTCGAAGGAGGGGTCAGTGACAGCAGTAGCCAGGAGACGCGTGACAGTAGGACTGGCAGCACGAAGGGCGTCCGACTCCGGGTCGGCAAGAGCAGGAAGAGAGGAAGCAGGAGGAGAAGGCAAAGGGGCACGCAGAGGAGCAGTGGACGGACGCAGGGACATCCGGTGCGTGCCAGGGACAGGAGGAGGACGCTGACGCGACCCGCGACCACTAGCGCGCTCAGTACGAACAGGCGACACAGGACGAGACGCAGGCTCACGACGCTCAGTAAGACCTCCAGTCGGACCAGCGTAGGGAGAAGGAGCAGGCAAAGGGGAGGCAGGCTGTAGCTGTGGCTGTGACCGGACAGGCTGCGGACCCTCTAAGGGAGGAGGAGGAGGTGTAAGACCAAGAACCTGCTGCAGGAGCGGAACGAAGTACGGTCGGGGCCGCGCGGCGACGCTAGAAACAGCACGAACAGCACCAGCAGCCCCGGCAGGAGCACCCACTCCAGTAGCACCTCCAGCAGCACCACCAGAAGCTCCAGAACCTCCAGCCGCAGCACCAGGAGCACTGTCAGTCGGGCCGCCAACGGCAGGCTCAGCACCTACACCCTCAGCAGGACCAGCTCCAGGAGAACTCTCAGACTCAGCAGCTCCAGCACCCACAGTACGAGCGCCGGCGGGGCGCGCAGCAGCAGTACCCTCTGCAGCCGAAGAACCACCAGCACCAGCAGCACGCCTCCAGCGCCCGGCAAACCACTCACGCAGCTCCTGTGGGGAGAGTGGCTCCCGGCGAGACGAAGCACCCCCAGGCACAGCACCTCCAGGCTCGGCACCCCTAGACACAGCACCCCCAGGCACGTCACCCCCAGGCTCAGCACCCCCAGGCTCAGCAACCCCAGGCTCAGCACCCCCAGGCTCAGCACCCCCAGGCACAGCACCCCCAGACTCGGCACCTCCAGGCACAGCACCCCCAGGCTCAGCACCCCCAGGCTCAGCACCCCCAGACTCGGCACCTCCAGGCTCAGCACCCCGAGACTCCGCACCCCCAGGCTCAGCTCCCGCAGCAGCACCAGAGTCACCAGTGACCTCGACAGGCTCGACCGCGTCTACCTGGGACACACCTGAAGGGGCAGGACCCTGAGGGGGGAGGGGGACTACCGGGGGGGGACCTGGTACCAAGAAGAGCGGGGGTGGGGGGAGGGACGGAGTGCGGTAGGGGAAGAGGCGGTAGTAGGGTACCGACTCGTCGAACGTGACGTCCTGGGAGGACAGAACACGTCGAGAGGTGGGGTGGTAAAACTGCCACCCAGGGGCGTCGGGGGGGAACCCCAGGAAGGCGCAGGGAGAAGCACGAGGGGATAGCTTGTCCGCAGACAGGTCGCGAACAAACGCCCGAGATCCCCAGACCCGGAATGCCGACGCATCGCCAACCTTCCCCGTCCACAGCAGGGCTGGGGAGGTCTCCGGTCGAGAGACCCTGGGGTGGAGGTTGATCTGGTGCGCAGCGTACCTGACCGCAAACGGCCACAGAAAATGGGGAGCAGCCGCATGCATCATGGACGTACGAGCGACGTCCATGACCATGCCAATGCGGCGCTCAGCAATCCCATTCTGCTGCGGTGAGTCCGGAAGCGTGAAGGTCTGACGGATGCCTCGCGCACGACAGTAGGCACTCAGGAGGCCAGAGGAGAACTCTCCGCCTCTGTCCGAGTGCAGACGCAAAACAGGGAAGTCAGAGCCAAAGCTCCTCCGAAGCTGGAGACGAGCTGCGCGGATCCAGTCGATCAACACCGCAGTGACCTCACCCTTGCTGCGCAAGGGGAAGACTGTGGTGTAACGCGAGTAGTCGTCAACCACCAGCAGGAAGTAGCGCTCCTGACCCTGTCCACGGACGCGGGCTGGGCCCCACACATCCATGTGAAGCGTCTGCAACGGGGCCTCTGTCGGAGGAAACTGGGAGGAGTGAGGGGCAGCACGCTGGCGCCCCTCGACACAGGGGACACAGGTGGGGCCAGGGCCCGGAGGAAGGGGAGGGAGAGACCGGGGAAGACCAGACACAAGGACTCGCGAGGCCATGCCTCTGAGCCGAAGCAGAGAGGGGTGGCCAAGGCGGTGGTGCCAGAGGAGGGTCTCGTGAGACAAACGACGGCACGAGCAGGGGGCAGACTCAGGACCAGACCTGGACGCTGCAGCAAACACCTGACCAGACGAAGTGACCCTACCAGACTCAGCACCTGGAGGAGAAGCAGTGGTCAGAGTGTACAGGCTCGACCCTGGCCGACGTGTAAACGTAGCCAGGTGGCGACCTGTATCCGCCTCCGTGCAGTGGGTCACCCGCTGACGAGCAGGGGTGAACTGGTGGACACCCGCATCCTGGAGGTCAGCACCACTCACCAAGTTCGTCGAGAACGAGGGGAGGTAGAGACCAGTCAGGGTGCCAGAGGGGGCCGCCGGACACGGGAGGACAGTGGAGAAGCGAGACAGGACAGGCCCCCCAGAGGG